GTTAGTTATTTTTATTGTAGATTTTCGTCAGTAATTTGTGTGCGACTTGAAGGGCTTGAAGCGTTTTGATTTGCGCTTTTCAAAGTCATTAAAGCGAATTAAACGGCCGAACGCAAAACGAACTCAAATGGCAAATTATTATTCACTGTCAGGCAGCAAAACGCGAATGCAAATGCGAATTTTCAAGCGCAAGCCAAACAATTGCCGCAACAAAAAATATTATTGCCAAATGCGACGCCCCCACAGCCCGCAACCCACCGCCCCACAGTCGAATCGATGGGGTCGCTGATAAGACGATGCCGGCACAGGCACAGTCGACCCATTGCATGGCAATACGAATATCGGAGGCCCCCAAAAGAGAGACCCAATTGAACAGACGACGATCAGCCGAGAGTTGGTTCAGCTTGGCTTAGCAAGAGCAAGAGGCAAGAGGCAGGCGGCATTCAAGGCGAGTAGCTTCAGGTCCTAACTGCCGTCAATTGTTGACTTTAATTTGTTTTATTGGCGCAGACTCTGAACGATGCAGATAACGCTAACTAAGCGGGTCAGGGCCCGACTGCCAGCCTGCCAGCCTGCCTGCCACTGGCCACAGATCAGCAGTCGCCTCTATTGTCTCTTGGACTAGAGCCGTAGTGCGAACAGGGCATGAGTAGAAGGGGGAGCTGTCAAGAGTTCACACATGTTATGGGCACACACGTCGTATACGCAACCTGAACTAAACTGATTTCCATGACAATTGACGCAGCAACAAGTAGCTAAAAATTCAATTTGTATACCCCTTATTTTATTTTATTTATTTGTATATTTTTTTTTTATATTTTTAATACCTTTAGGAAGTCTGGGCTGCAGCTCCCAGCTCCACAAAAACTATGACAGACAAAAGCCCAAAAGTCGGAGAGTGTATTTACAATAACAAAAGGCGCATTTCGTGGCGAGTTTTTCCATTGCTCGCACTACAATAGACAGGTCGCTGGCTAATCAGAATTGTAAGTAGTGCTCGGGCTCTTCGTATTCCACTTATCTTTATGTAAATTACCTGCCATAACAATTTCAACTGACTCCTCGGCTCTGGCTCGGACCCAGCCACTGTCTACGGTTACAATTCGGGAAGTCAGCGTAGAAAATGCGAATAAAAAATACATTTAAGTGTGCATATAAATACGAGCACAAAGCACAAATTATTGTCGAAATGTTTAATGACAAACTGTTGATGCCATGTCACGAACTTTTCTCCAACTCTCCCGGTGCAGGAGCTGCGTCTCATGGCAGCCGGTTCACGAGTTTGTAACGGATTCGCGTTCACTGGCAGACAGTCGACAGTGTGTATCCAGTATCAGGTTCATGGCGCGACTTTAGATTGTAGACTCCATTGTGACTGGAGACAACGTCTGCATGATGAGCAATGGGAAGGCATCAGCGGACTGTCTTCAAGAAATATATTTAGGAAAGTGCAACAGGCAAGATTAATTGCGACTTTCAACTTTGATTGAAATCGGTTATTCAACTATGTCTTTCAAATTGAATTCAATGGCGATAGAACACATCAGGCCAAACTAATTGCCGAATATATTCTTTCCACTCTCAAGTACAGTTCACACCTGTTGGAAAGCATGTAAAATAATTGTTGCGTCCCTGCTCGGGCGCCACTTAGTAACTTAGATACTTGGAATGGTATCAAAGAAAAGTCGTTGCTTAAAAGTTAACATAGAAACCGACAGAAGGACATGGCTATAGCAATTGTTGCTGTTGCCATTACGTAAGAGATCAATATTATCTTGTGAAAGGATAACAAATCAACAAATGTTAACTAAACGTTTAACATTCATTTTACTTTCCATTATTTACGTATTTTTGAACCTACTCCAACTTGAGAGAGATTCACTCTTATTATCCGAGGAAGCTGGCCAGACAGTAATTCTGCATTTCCAAGAAATTTGTCTTTTCACTTTATCACACCTGAGGCGACTACGAGATATATATGTATATGCTCTTGATATCGAGTAAAAATAATGTTATATTGATGAGTTCAATGGAACTGGCCCGCAAATGATGGTTCTTAATATTGGGCTAAGGTCGAGCAAGCGCGACACGCTGCAGTCCGATCTCGGAGTGGCGTGAGAAGAAAGAGAGACGATTTGATTTCATCGGTTTCATCAGCCAAAAACGCAAATTAGCTTTGGGATCGCACATTGCATGCATATGAAGCGGTAGCCGAAAATTGAGAAACAATTATCGATGCGATATGCAAATCGAAAATCGCCATGCGGACGAGTATTTTGTCAGAAAAAGTCATTGCGCCTCAAAACTATTGCAATACGAGTACCAGCATTACCCACCGCTCCGACTCCCTGGGGAAAACCAAACCTAGCGATGTCGTTGATGGAGTGCATTGCACCGGGCGCTATTTCAGGGCCACCCCATCGTGATGGGCCGATGTGTACAGTAGTCGCAATAGCGAATAGCATAAGAGAGATCGGATCAGGCGAGAACACCTTGAACTTCCACTGACCGACTGTTTGGGGAGGAGTCGGTTAATTTATGCGCTAAGCACCTAAGTTATTCTAAAAGCCCAAATACAATACTCGAATACTCGCGTAATCAATGCATTCCGCCTGCAGATCACCCAGAACTCAGAACACAGATCTCTGAAGCTATACGAAATGTGTGTCATATATGCATGAGATATTTGGCGCCGACTCTCGAGCATACGAAATGCGGATAAATGCAAACACAATTCTAATGCAAGGCACATCGAAAGGTGCCAGCAAGTCGGCGAAATTCCTTTAATGCGCATCGTTCGGTTCGAATGCGGTTCAATGTTTGACATTGACATGTGCCAAGGCTTGCTGCGGGCTCTCCCAGCCACAAGTTCTTGCCATTCAGACTATCTGCAATCTCTCAATACAATCGATAGTAAAAACAACCAAAACAATTTCCAGCCTTTGCCCAGCACCAAATGGCTAGCATTTAGCGCCATGCGGGCGCAGCATGCAAAATGATCACTTCCATTCCACAGACCCCGTCCAATCCCATTACCAATCCCATTGCCAGACCCTGTTCCAGCATCTTCCATTTGATGTTTTCGTCGAGGTGTTTTGTTGGCTGGCCAAACATATGCCCACCATGTGTACTTTTCTCTGTGCCCGTAGTGACGTCCTGCGTGCCCGCCTGCCTCAACAGGCGTTGGCGAAGGTGTGAGGTGTGAGACTAGGTGCTCAGCACTGTTTTCAGAATTTACATGTTTTCTGTTTCTAATATTGCTCTAGCAATATATCCAATCTCAAACTGTTCTAATATATGTCCTTATTTCTTGATAAGTTTATCTATGAATCTCAGTTTGATTAGATTCTTATGTAGCTACGTTTGATTCGTTTGTGCAAAACATATTGGGATTTGCCTGAAAATATTTTAATGCTCATCATCTCAAAATACATCTTTGTCTACCCATAATTTATCGATAAAACTCGTAAGTCCTTGGTCCCAAAATCAATTTCCAAGGTAAGTTTCTTTTTTTCTTTCGAAACTTGTTAAATGTAGATGCGTGGTGCGTGGTGGTACATAGATGCGTGGTGACAGCTTCAGCCTAAAGTTAGCGTGAAATATATTTAAAATTTCAGCATCATTTATTAAAGTCGGGCAATGTCGAGAACAATTTATAAATGATGAATAAATGAAATATAAAGTGGCCAAAGTATAATGTTAATTTCACTACAAAATGCTCAATATATGGTACAAACTGTAAATATGAATTTGGGACCTTGTGATGGGTTTCTTATGCATGGATGTAAAACCCTGTCGCTGGGTGAAAGCAATTTCACCTCCGTTCTACCTTCGACTTCCCAGGCTGGTTCCCATGGCCGATGGCTGATGGCTGTGCAAAAGTCTGAATTTCCAACAAATGAAAACTAAACAAATTTTAGCGCCTCTACCTTTTTGGCAACGTATGCTGAGATAATTGGGAAAACAAGCACAACGCCGCATGGCAGAGGACGTGGACACATATGAGAGCCCACGTTGAGGGACTCGTCAGAGCACGTACCAAGCGTAGGTGCGATCTCTGGCTGTTGTTGTGCCACATGATAATGTGAATTTCAACGGTAAATTTGCTTTGTGCTTTTCCCGTAGCGCCGGGTCCAGGCGTGTACCATGACCAAGGGATTTCTCAAGGAAAACATTTCACACATTACGCGAAGACCGGCGCTTGGATAGAAAATGAGAACGAAGTGAAAAAACACACGAGTCACAGTTGCATATGTTGGGCTCGTTGGGTTCTGGCCGTTTGGTTCGTGCTATCGGATCTTCCCACAGTCGGCGGGCACCAAGCTGTCTGCCGGCTATTCAAAAAATTTCCATGTGGTATTTCCTGACGCGACGTCGACGTCGACATCTCTCGATATTGGCAACATTATCATAAACACCCATTTTATAACTGGGTTGGGCAAAGGCGACTTTTTCCCACCGTTTGCCCATGTGTGAGGAAAATCCTTGCTATTGGTTTTTTGCACAGCCCCTGGGAAAACTGTGACTCGCGCTGTACCTGAGACGGAAACTGACCAGGGCCGGAGACTGAGACCAACACGTGGACAGTAGCCGCAGGGCTGCGATCATTATTAGCCTCGCTCTCCCAACTGTGGTCATCTCGAGTGCACAGGTTGTAAAAGGACACGGCGCACCCACCACTACCGGGCCACTGAGCAGCACTTGACTCTATGCGCCGGCGCAGGCGCATGCCCTGAGGCTCTCCTGCGGAGCGACAGGTAAGCACGGCAACAGCAACAGCAACAGGTAAACATTTGCCAATAAATATACAGCCTGTTGCTTCTGACGCGTGTCAAGTGTGTGGGTAGCTACCTGTTGAATTGGCTAGTCCTTTGCATACTGCCAGAGTATCTCAACGAGCTGCACGTCGAACTTATTGACAGTTTATTGGCATCGTGATAGAGACATTGGCAGACTGGTCTGTTTGGTAATGATAAAAGGGAATTCAGAAGATACTTGGCAAGGCAAATGACACGATTGCAGCTATTTTTATTAAGGCATCATAATAATCCGTACTCGTCAATGTTTTGATTAATCTTAGTCCTTTAGCGAAATCACATTATCTTCTCATATAGTTAGGCAGCCAATAAACCATATAAAGATATTTTTATTTGATCTCTACCCATAAATGGCATCTACCAAACTTGGAAAAATATGTCCAATTGCTTAGGCCCAAGTTATTTACGCTCAGGGCTTAGGCTTAGGCTTCTGCCAATACCAAATAATTTTCAATGATATGTGTGGCTCGGTACGGTTCAACCTTGTGCATCCTACAATTTCTGGCCGGGTTGGCAAACCGCATACTTTACATTTCAGAAACCAGAAAAACTAACGCGTTAATTTAGACTTCAAAATCCTTCAATTTTATCTGACGAGTACTTCATCATGTATTTTCCATTAGCCAGATGGGCTTAGAACCATAAAAAAAAATTTTGCTAAGACTTAGCCACGTATCAGAGTCATAATTGATGGCTAAGTTCAAAAAGTCAACAAATTCAATTTAGGAATTAACATTCGCTGTTCGCGTGCCAAACCCAAATCCTTTTGCAGGATCCGATTCAAATGCATTAACACCGACCTCTTGTGGATCAATGGGTGGCGCCGGATTACGGAATTGCTCGGCAGAGATGCGGGTTAGAAGTATGCCGACGCCCTCAATCAAGGAGAGTAAGATGCCGCCAATGATGGCGCTGCCTGCCATTGACGCCAGACCATTGCGTGCCGCCAGAATGCCACCTGTGGCAGCTCCACTGATAATAGAGTTCCACGGGTCCTCCTTCTGCCGAAAGTGCACCAGGGTGCAGTCAATGGTACTGAACATGCCACCCCAGGCAGCAAAATTGCCGGCTATCACTGGCGAGCGCGCCTTCACAGCCATCATGCTGCCCATAAGGCGGCGACTCAGGCCCTGTGGCGCATTTCTAAAGCCCTTCAGTGCCTGAAAGATGCCGCCGCCGATGGAGCCCATGGCAAAGGCACCGCCAGAGTCATCCACAATACGATACGGGCAAGGTTCACGGGAATATTCCTCCATATTCTGTTTGCCTAAACTGGTTTTGTTGTTCGATCAATGTACTGTCTAAAGCGAAATTGAATTTATACGAATTTTCAATTGTTTTGTGTCTTAAATGATTTTGATGGATTTCAAAGCTACACGTGCATGTAAATTAATATGATAAATACTAAATGAGAGAAAACTACTGGCCTACCTAGCAGTGCCCATATAAACGAGAAATGAAACAACTGAGATGGAGACAAAATTTATTATTATTTGTTTCATAAAACAAAAATATATTTAGAAACGTATTTCAGAAATAAAGAGGAATTAAATTGTTCTGTGAATTATTTTCAGACAAATATATGGTTCGATCGTTTTCTTTTTGGGAAACTGGTTTGGTTTGGGTCTCAATACAAGATAAAAATACGTTGAAAATCTTAGTTTGAACCGGTTCGATTCGATCCCGGGTTTCAACCTTGTATACAACCAACAGATAACATTTAACCACATTCACAAAACAAATCTAAAGGCAGGATTTTCAGCCGTAAGCCGAGCTCTGCAAATATACTATACTCTTGTAAGCATAGTCAAATTTATATTCTTGAGACGGATTTTTAAATATATTCGTGAAAAATCATTGTATATAAAGATTATTTTGATACAATGTGTATGGAGCTGTAAAGAAAGCTGTTTTCGGCATATAAGCTAAGTTTTCTGCAGAAGTCATAACAATATTTCTAAGAATCTTAAATGCAAAATAAGTTTGACTTGAAATTTTTGATTTTTCAACACTGTGCTACGAACCTCATTATTATATTATGACCGGGGATCAACATTACCCTCTCTGGCAACCTCGTGTGACAAACAGACTCGTATGCTCGGCTACTCGTTTATTATCGGAACACTTGGCACGAATTAACATATACACAGAATCAAGAAAAAGAGGGCCAGGCCCGAGGCAACAAAACGCACGTGGGGTAATCGGCAATCGGTGCTGCGCAAGGGGTTGGGGAAAGGTTTCGTTAGAGCTTCGATAAGCGTTGCACAAAAGGTTAAATAGCAGAAATGTCGAGTGTAGTTAACCATAAAATTTACTGCCAGCCGAACGGTCTGCCACGCAGCTGGATGACTGTCTGGAAGGTTCGTTGTGGTACGGCCGATCGGTCGGTCGGTCGGTCGGACGGTGGGGCTGGGACGGAGACAAGAAGAGCTGGCAATGCCAAAGACGCAATTTATACAAAATTGAATGGTGGTGGGAAACGGAAACAATGAGGCCCGATTGTCATCGGCTGATAGTAGACATAGTCCAGGAGCTTGCGATGTGATTGCCCCATAAGTTGCCGTGCATAATTATCACGCGAGCATAATCAAATTTTAGATGACGCAAAGAAGCGGTAGGTGGAGAAAGAGCTGGAGGTGGAGCAACATGAAACTTTGGAAGCCGACACAACTGTGTTTACATAGCACTGAGGACGTGTCACAATACAATTCGGCACGATACGGGGTACGGCTCGGTCTGCCCTTAGATGGGTATCTCAACTTGCAATGTCTGTACAACAAGGTGTCAAACGCCACTGACAAATGAAAGCGAAACTCGTATGGGACACCTGGACACACACGAAGTGCCAGCACATTAAGTATATATTTATAGCGCCAGTCTCCAATCCCTGACCATTGTCTCAGCTCAGAGGTCTGCCCGCTTGTCTGCCTGCCTGTCTGTCTGTCTAGCTGTCTGTCAAGTTGACATGTAAATCGTTAGAACGTGCTGGATTGATTGTTCTCACTTTAACGCGTTTATCGATTGTCCAAGGGAAAAGGAACTGGGGGCGGGCAGTTCAATTTTACACTCACTGATCATTTGTCAGGCAACTAATGCTCGATAAACTCGTGTAATTTGTAATTGTAAATACGCGAGTTTGTCAACTGGGCTCATTGTTATACTGTTGTACAATTCTCCCGAAATCTTCAATTTTCGTTTTTTATAAATCTTTACCCATTTTCGATTTGTTAATGTGGGCACATTATGTAAACAATTCAAAGGATTGGCGATTTCTACGAAGGATTTTTGGTTTTCTAATGGACAGCGTTTTGGTATTTCCCACGAAATAATTTTGTTAATTCATGGGAATGCATTTTATACGGATGTGTGGATCATTAAAAATTTATCATCTTTCAATCTTCACACATATAGTAAGTTTACATACCTTAAATTGAAAGTATCACAATTCTGACTGTTTATTATTGTAGTTTATATAACTTTTATAGTTAGCGACAGTGAAAATATTATTTTGATTATTATTATCATTCATTTAGCATACTTTTATATTACTTTTTTGTTTAAACAGAAGCATGATTTGAATTCAAGTCACCTGCAAACATCTTTAGAATATTTTGCGGACTGCAATGGGGCAGCTGCTGTTATGCAATTTCTGTTCCATCTAATGAAATGCATCTGCATAACAAGAACAAGAGCATATCGGAACAAGACTCATTTACCTACCATTGAAATGCTGTGCACATGCCAAAACGCGAAGAAACAACAGAGCAACAGAGCAAAACAATTGCGGTTGCATTACCCTGGTAGGGAATATGAAATTCAACAAATGCAAAATCAAAAGGCAGCCCAGGACCAACAAAGGACATGCCTCAGGTAACGCACGTTGATGATGGCGGCAACAGCAACAGCAGCGTCAGCGACGGTGGCATGCCGCCAAAAACTCGCAGGGAAGCGCAGGCGCTGACGAGTGCTGCCCATGATGGTGGTGGTGGTCGTCGTGGTGGTGGTGGTGGTGCACTATTGTTTGTCACATGCTCGTAGCGGAGGGAACGCTCCCCTGCTCCCGAGCCCGGCTCCTGCTCTGGCTGTGATTGTTTTGATGACGATCATGATGTTTTGTTCCTTTTTGCTTGAATTATCCTCGGCATGCCCATTGTGCGTCTGCAGATGCAAGTCAACGTCCGAGTACAGCATCTCTGCCTCCTTCTCTCCTTCCTCGCTCTTAGGGCTGTGCAAACAGATGCACGTCTTGCCAAAAACCCCTGGCCAAGACGCAGACGTAGACGCTGACGAGGCGCGCCAAAGGAGCAGCTGTTAATGCCAAGCCACCAACGCGCCAGCCAACACCCTCAACAGCATTAGCCGAGCAACGGCAACGACATCGGCATCGGCATCCGAATCACCATCGCCCGGTTGACAGAAACTGATTTGTGCTGCCTGCCCGAACGGCGCAGATGCAATCCTTGTGTTGTTTCCTTGGTTTCCCGTTTGCATTGTTGGGCCTGGCCCGACCGGTGTAATGAGTTTTTTTTGCCTCAACATACTTTTGTTTTGGGTATTTCTCTTTTTTTTCAGACTACCAAGAGCTCTGATTTGGCCTAAGGTCCTGCTGGTTAGCCTACGGCCGACGAAAGGTGTTAAAAATGCTCTTAATAAGGGCGTAGCACTCGATGTATACTAGATCAGTGATTGCATCAGCTGCGCTTCAGTTTGTCGAGATACTTTTTATGAGTTTTTGGAATAATTTGAAGGATTGTAAATTCTTGCTACATTTAATTGCAAATCCAGCTCAATATATTTGAATTTGAACTTTTGACTTTTAAGAAACATCTGCAGGACATTATCAATTAATACTGAGCACCTAAGCAATATATGTGCAAGGGTATTAAGTCTTCGGCGTTTCATCATATATTGTTACTTTCTCTATACTTTCTTCAAGTTGAGCTAAAATTAATCTCATAGAGCTTTGAGCTGTTCTCTCTTCGGATATTTATCTGTTTCTTGGATCTCGATTATAAACTGAAGAGTATTTAAATAGTATTTATTTTAGCTAGCTCATTATTTATATATAATTATAACATAACTGCTAACACCCTGTTATCTAAAGATTATTTCAGTTAATTATTTTATATCAAAAAGTCTTTATGTTATTTCCTCTAACTTCTTTAATGTTTCCTGGTTTTCCATTGCATTGTGCTATTTCACTTCCTCAGGACCTCCTGGTTCATTGCCTAAACCTTAATCGCCGCAACACAATTATAAAATATTTACACACTCCATTTGGAAGACACGTTTAATAGGCTAAACAGCACGCTTAGTATGACATATAAGGACATTCTCTACAAAATCAGTTTACTAAAAAACAGATAAAAGAGGAAAGGTAGCAGACGAAGCGGGAGAGTGAGTTTGAGTTTCAGGATGGCAACGGGAATGCGTTGACACACAATGCGCTTAATGCCGACGCATTGACAGGATAACGAAGCGTGAATAGGCACGAAACCTGCGCGAATGTATCCTGGAGTCGGGAGTCAAGGCAGATGGCAAGTGGCAGGTCACAGGACAGAGGAGAAGCTTCCTTGGGATTGGCGTTCTTTGCGGGGTCATTCACAATTTGGCGAGAACAATGGGCCACAGGTAGCCGATGAACATTAAGCGGCACCCGCACATAATCGCGGACAGACAGACATCTCGATGCAGCCAGGTGATCCAACTTTTTGATTTCTTCTGGCTAAGGACATTGATATGCCGCCGGTAGCGGCAGTGGATTCTTGGAAGCAATTCCTTTCGCTGGCTTTTCAAAACATTTACTCCAATGTGTCTGCTCAGTCGGTCTTTTATTGTGTCATGAGGTCCTGAGGCCTATTGATTGTGCAATGCACCCGGCTCTAGGCCCGTGGCAGTGATTTTCTTAGCTCCCTACTTCTTTCATTCCTTCTTTCTGTTTTTGGCTTCGATTTCGATTTATGGATTGGAAGTTCTTTTGTTTGTGCGAAAGCGAAGAAACAGCAACAACAATCGGCAGCAGGTCTGCAGTTGCTCTAAGGATCTGGTCTGGGGGTAGTAATCAACCATTCATTGTCAACGACATCACACATCGTATATCTTGGGCCAGAGTTTGTTTTCTTTGGTGGTATTTTTTCAGTTCCCTTCTTCCAACTTCTGCTTATATATTTTTGCCAAAAGGTGTGCCATTGCACCGGGCCAGGCTGCACCCAGATTGAGAGGCAGACAGATAGAAGGAACTCCAAAGATTTTTATAACCTATAGTAAAAGTCCATAATTTAGATTCAGGCAAATATTTAAAAGCTCTCGATCTTGACTGAAGATTGAGATGTTGAAAATAAGCTCTTCAAGAAAAAATATGTTCTAGTCCCATGGCAAACAGTACAATTTT